CTTTCATAGAAGGATGATTATTGATTGAGATATTAGGATGGTGTGTGTAGGGTTTTTCATTTCATAGAAGGAAATAAAATTACGAATGATATTGTAATCATCCGGGAACATAGTAGAGTAGTACAGTACTTACATGGCCAGGTACGGGGCTAGGTCGTCAAGGTGCATCGCGACGATAGCGTCTTCAGCAACTAAAGCCTCAGTTTTTTTTAGAACCTCAGTTTTTTTATGAGAATTGACATGGAGAGAATTTCCGCTCCGTAGCTTCGACCTCGCCTCCTGTCAGTGGTGGCTGGAATGAAGTCTTTAGGTAACTAGTGACCTTCTCAGCATAACGGATGGCTTCATCCTGGCAGAGGGGTAATCTGAGAGCGAAAGACCTCACAGTTGAACTCAGAAGCAAAGTAGCTAATCGGCCCTTGACTGAAACGACGTTACGTAGATCTACGGCAGTGACGGCGGCACGCATACTGCCGTCATTTTTATTTTGCGGCTCTATGCAAAATCACTTGAGCATGGCCGCATGGGACCAGCTCAGATCAGATCTCTTCAGCCGGGCGAATACAGTATCATGACTGTGACGTCTGGGCTGGCCGTGGACGTGGGCCATGTGCCGTGTGTGAGCTACGCGGGCCGGGATACTCCTTTCCTTTTTCGCGTCACACCAGGCATGGGTTTGAATGCCGGTCGAAACATGGCGATTTGTCCGCACCCTCCGATCCCCCCCCCCCCTCCCTGGCCCGGGCTAGTAGTATTATGTACATACATGTACATGTACATGTAATTATGTACATGCCTGCATGATATCGATACGCTGGTTGCACAGGAAATACTTATGCTCTCAGGAAACAGAAAGTGACAATTGTCGCTTGCAGCATATTCTTAGGCTAGGTTCTCTGACTGAAAGTCTGACAAGTTGGGTTTCAATACCAGAATAATAATCACACAATGATAACTTTTATGCCGATTTTTCCAAATCGGGGAATGTTCCAAGTCGTAAGGTACATGTACATGTATAAAAAGGTGATACAAATGTATGAGAAGGTGATACAAATGCTCAATATTCTAAGGCCTGAGTAGGGATTCAGCCAACATGTACATACATGTAGCACCATTCTCACCGTCCCTCAGCCGTTTTCACAAGTCACTCCGAAAGACTACATGACATTCAATTATGGTAGAGAATGCAACAGAAGCGGCTTGCACAAACAATCATATCCATATCAGCAAGGCCTGCATAGACTGTTGTACGCGTACATGACAATCAGTTAGGGCTCTGGTCGGATACCGAGAGACACCCAGCACATCTTGGGAGTGCTGTCACTGCTGTGAGGGGACAAAGAGCGGGTAATGCTATACAACTCGCCACTCCAATTTCTAAACTGTACGTAAACCTAAAGAACTCGGTCCTTGTCGTCAAGGAAAGGTGTTACCAGGAGGCGACTGAATTGTTTCGAGACACTGGTGTTATGATAACGGACGAGGGATCACGATATCTTGGCGCAGCAATCAGAAGGGACAGCTTTCTTCAAAGCTACATGTACATGTATATCAAAACAAAGGTGGACGAATGGATGGGAGAACTGAAGAAGCTAGCAGTATTTGCGCAAACCCAGCCGCAGGCTGCGTATTCTGCGTATGTGACGGGCCTCAGGGGTAGATGGGCGTTCCTCTGTCGTGCCATGAAGGTACCCGAGCCGATGTTCCAACCGCTGGAGGGCATTGTGAAGTCTGAACTGATTCCCGACTTAACTTGCCGTGCACCCCCAGGCGACACCCTCCGACGGCTTATGGCTTTGCCGTGTCGTCTGGGTGGGCTCGGTTGGATTAACCCTGTGTCCCTATGCCAACAATACGAATCGTCGGTTCGGATGACCAACCCTCTGTCTTGGAGAATCTTGTCAAGGGATGGCTCCATCGGTGACTCGGTAGTATTAATCAGGTCGGCCAAGAGAGACGCCAGGGCATCTTCTCGACGTCATCAGAAACTGGAATTCGACGCGATATCGGGCAGTGCGTCGGAGTCGGTACGACATGTCATTGTCGTCGCGAAGGAGAAAGGGTCGTCGAGCTGGCTGACGTGCCGTCCGCTTAAGATGTATCATTTTAATTTATCAAAGGGAGAGTTCTGGGATGGACTCTGCCTCCGTTACGGATGGACACCGGCCAGGGTACCGTCACACTGCTCTTGCGGCCAAGAGGCAACTGTCGCGCATTCCCTGTCGTGCCCCTATAGAGGGTTTCCCTCCATTAGACACAATGGTATTCGGGACGTCACGGCCCGGTTGCTGGATGAGGTGTGCACCAGTGTATCCATCGAGCCCTTGCTGCAACCGCTGACGGGGGAGCGTCTTCGCTACTGGACCGCGAATGTGGGGGACCGTGCCCGGTTGGATGTCGCTGCCAATGGTTTGTGGGACAGTCGTTTTGAGCGTACACTTATTGATATACGGGTTTTTAACCCTCACTCACGCTCAAATCGATCTGCACCACATACTATTGTGTATCAGCGACACGAAAAAGAAAAGAGAAGGCACTATGAGGAGCGGGTGAGGCAGGTTGAGCAAGCCTCCTTTGTTCCGGCGGTCATGTCAGCCAGTGGCGGAATGGGTCCAGCGTCAACAGCACTATATAAACGCATTGCTCATCTGTTGGCTGAGAAGAGGGGTGAGCACTATTCTCATGTTATGGCATTTGTTAGATACAGGATTTCCTTCAGCCTTTTGAAATCCTGTATTATGTGCATTCGCGGTTGTAGGCGTGTAAATTTTAGTGCTGAAACGATTATATCGATTACTCGTTACTTACTCGATAAGAAATAGATCGAACGGTTATTTCGATTTTATCGGCTAAACGAGTAGAATGGTACATGTACTTACACTCGGTGTGGGATTTCCCCCATTTTGGGGTCGCACAAAGCGTGCATGCATCGAAAGTGTTGCGAGTACGACACGAATATGACTGTCCACTTGCAACATCGATGTACGTGTAAAGTACAAGCGCGATCTGAGAAACATCGACGTGATCACCGTCGTCGTCTTTGGAGCTGACTACTTTTCTTACCAATCCCGAAAAGATTGTTGGAGGAGAGAGAGACTTTTGCTCGCCGAGCTGAAGCTAAAGGATTTGATGGAGTCCTGCCAGCAGCTAGTCAAAGGACCTTCGGTACCTTAGGCAGACCCTGACGGAGTTTGGAGGCCAGCTAGCTCTCGGTGAGGAGAGAAACATTCGCGTGGCGATCGACTCTCCGTAAAAAAAATACAAGCTACATAGCGCCGACATACTGCAACAGCTATGATTTCAACTAACTTCTCGATCTGCTGCTTCACAAAGTTCAACTATTTACAAGCCCTGACTGTTGTAGTCTGAAGCTGGAGTCTCATCGCCCACCTACAGGTAGCTTTTGGAGCTGATGGATTTCCCGACTTGGACTCCTTCCGCAAACTCTCGCAACAGTCCTACAGTGTATGCTGTGTTCCCGCACGCTCGTGTCGACATGTACCGGATCACGGAGGCGGAAGAGCTTGACGAACTCCGCTGACTCCACGTTGCCGAAATACCGCCGTCGTCTTCGTTCTTATCGCTGGAGACATTCTCCCCTTCCAGGACCGGCGCATAGTTGTCGTCCCGGAGGTAGAGACTATGTTGTGTTTCGAAATAGTTCTTCATCAAGCTCGCGCGAATGATGATTCTCATCATGAACTCGTTCCGACGTTGTGACATGGCGATGGTCTTTGGCGGGGCACTGGCTTGGCGAAAACGCAATCTTCTTGCGCAGTAGAACATTGATCGGCTGCAGATGAGTACAGGTACTTCGTGCTTGGTCCTGTTGGAGGAAACCTGACAGGAAAGAGGCAAGACTCATCGAAGACGAAGCGCTCGCAACAAACAATGGCGCTCGAAATATCTCGTACGATTTAGGGCCTATCGCTTTGAGCCACAGCGCTCACAGCCTTGCCTACTTCATCAAAGTGAGCTCTACATGTTCGTTGACCTCTTCACACTACACAGAAGAGCGAAACAAGGATTATGACTTAGCACTTGGGTTGCAACCAGTGAGTTGCCTCTGTCTGGTCTGTATTCGTCTGGTCAGTCCGAACAGCTGACAGACTTGTTGCGGGAACATCGGATCTATGCACCCGCTTTCCGTCGTTGGCGATGTAATTGTTGGACTCGTAAAATTTTGAAATTCACAGAATGTACATGTACTGATGTAGTTACAATAATAATCGTTTAGCCGATAAGCCGATCGTTATGGTATCAGCTAAGCCACTAAGGAAAAAACGTAATCGTTTCAGCACTAGTAAATTTTAGTTTGAAATTTGCACCCTCCTGCGGAGCCCACGCTGCTTTGGCAGTGGCGGAGGCTCGCTTGCCGACGTAACCGTCGGAGACCATCATGAACAATGGACTGACTAATTATTCATTTGTTCTGTCTTTCTAAATATCCTGTTATTGCACATGTTCTTTCTTTAGTTTTTGTGCCTTTTTCGTGCTTTGGAGTTATTTGTTGTTTTTGGACTCTTGATAGTAGATGTACATGACTTGTGTGAACAAAAAAATTCTAAACTGTCGAAAGATTACTCTGAGTAACGGCTAGGCAGCTTCTAAGATTGGTAAGTTAGAAAGCCTCCTTCTGAGGTTTGAATTTCTTCGCATATAGCTATCTTTTTCATCGTGCCCGCAAACAGCAGCAAAATCAATCCCTCATGATCATTATCAATCTCAGTACAGATCATTGCATCTTCAAAGCCGGGGGCGCCATTGCAGCCATAAATTAATAAAAAAATAAAATAAATTCGACGGGGTTCGCGTACCGGGCAGGTCAAGAACAAGGAGTCGTACAACTCCCTGGTCAAGAACCACCTTTCCGCTTCCGTGGGACGCCACCACCCCATGATATAACGAATGCTTTGAAGAAACCCACTAAGACTAAATTTTAGATTGAATTCAAAGCGTTCTCAGTGAGAGACCGGGTGGAGTGAGAGAATCCCGTGACATGCATTTGAAATTTCTTTAATCCTGTGAATGGCTTTTCTGATGATGTTGTGCAAGCCATGAGTCCCTGAGTTACGACACGATTGAAGAATACTTGAACTTTGAAGTTAAAACAGAGGATCCTGGTACCTGGACTCCATTGAATATGGTTAAAATTACTTAAAAATAACAACAATTTACATGTATATGGTTCATTGCATGAAATACCCATAAATTTCAACTTCGGTTTCTCCTGCGTGGAGGTCTTTAAATAAAACTTTAAAACGTTAGTTGGAATGCTGCCAGTGTATAGTTATTGTCAGAGGAGTTACATTGTAGCACCTGATTACCAATGGAGGAAGATGCGCTGATACAGTATAGTGGCAGTGGAGCGCAAATGGCCCTCAGACATGATTGTAAGCACACTCATTAGCTGCTCAGGGAACAGCCACCAGGCGGACATGTGGTCCCTCTGTGGAAGTAGCGCTGGTCATAGGCCTTCATCCAAGTGTAAGCAGCGCCATTTGATTTGCATTGCAAAAAGTAGACAGTGACGCGGGGAGCGCCTGACTCTGAGGGCTGTGCGACTACGTTGCCATTTCTACTCGAGCACACAGCTTTGCACATCACCGGTGGAAATCTGTTGTAGTCCGTGTCACAACGCCAGCGTGCCTGATGATGATGTGATGACGGTGAAGATTTATTGAAACTTTCCAGCATCTTCCTCTCTGCAGTGTTGGCACTGTCCGGGTAAACCATGGCATTGCGACACGCCGTCCGGTCGTACGCGCAAAAGAGCGGAATGATCGGCATTGTAGTAAAGGTTTGCAGGATGTGCAGATTGGACGCCTGTTGATCAGATATGGAGCCCACCAGCATGGACAGAAACTCTCCCAGAGAGTGTGCTGCACACGGACTGTCTTGCATGGTATGAGCACGACGCAACGACTTCCATTCTCCTGTGGCTTTGTTTCCTAGGGACCTTGCATGGCAGTTGTGAAGTGATGCCATAGCCAAAGCCAATAGGAGTGTAACCTAGACAAAGCATATGCAAGAAACAGGAATTTGGTAATGACCGATACGGGTAACAATCATAACAAGAGAGCTTGGAAGCTCAGGGCCCTACGCTATGCTTTTTTGCCTAGATGACCTAGACAAAAAAAAAGCATAGGGATGTTATAAATTCTTTTTTTTAAGACATAACCTGGGATTCGAACCCGCGCTATCGCGCGCCCTGCATGCATCCCCCGATACACTTCGCATACATACTAATTCTTCCAAGTTGTTTCACATTGTGATCTTGCATTTGAAAGCCCTATTTGAATATGCATTGTGGCCAGCCGTCTTTGATGGCACGGTACGGTAGGGGATAGGTACGGGACAGGTACGATCGAGGGTAATACGACACCGTCTCCCGTACCGTACCATACCATCAAACACAGCTGGCCACATACAGCTGCCCGCAATATTCAAATAGGGCTTTCAAACGCAAGATAATAACGTGAAGCAACTTCGAAGAATGGGTATGAATGCGAAGTGTATGGGGGAATGCATGTAGGGCGATAGTGCGGGTTCGAATCCCAGGATATGCCTGAAAAAAAGGAGAATTGAAAAATTGATAACATCCTATGCTTTTTTGCCGTCAGATACGGATAGCGCCAGGCGTGACACAAACAAACAAACAAACACACAAACAAACACACAAATACCAAACGAGAGAGCTTGGAAGCTCAGGGCCCTACGCTATGCTTTTTTGCCTTGATGACCTAAACAAAAAAAAGCATAGGGATGTTATAAATTCTTTAAAACATTCCTTTTTTTTAAGACATAACCTGGGATTCGAACCTGCACTATCGATCGAAACGTCTTAGCGCCCTAAAATCTCGCGCCCTTTCGTCGTAAACCCCATAATCACAGTTACATACTCTTGAGTCTTGGGTTATGGACTCTTGATATGATGTGAAGGCCATCATTTACATATTGATATAGGGCATTCCATTGATTGGTGACAGAAAAAACAAAAGAAATTATAGCAATAAAAACTGCTTTATGGCAGTTTTCTAAAAAAAGTTATTGTGTTCTAGTCCATGGACCCCGTCTAAAAAGTAAGAAATTAACGAAATGTGATAGCTGAAAATTAAAATTTCACACAAAACCTCACAATAATCACACTCAGAATGAAAAGCTACATGTAGAAGACCTTTTCCCCTCGTGATCCTCTTTCCTATGCATGCATGACATGCATGTTGCCAATTGTTGGTGCAGTACAAGTCTAGTGTTGAAAGCAGCATTTCAAGTGTTGTGATTATTGTGAGGTTTTGTGTGAAATTTTAATTAGTCATCACTCGTCTCCCTACTTCGTATTTTTTTCCAGAAAATCTCCCCATACAGCTGGGAGTCGTTTACATAATATGACTCCCTGCTATAGATCTACATGACTGTATATACGTTATAATTACTCAATCTGATACGTTATAATTATTATGCTATCAGCCTACATGCGGTCCCCGGGCTGGTCGACAGGCGGACCAGCCAGCCTGCTAGTGGGTTCTCGGCCTCGCACACAAATCCACACAAAATGTTACTGCACTGAATGCATTCCCCCGATACACTTCGCATATACATGTATACATATCCTATAACCATGGGGTTATGTACAGTATAACCTGGCTTAAGCGACCGCCCCACGGTGCTGCAAGGAAAAGCGGTCGTTAAAGCCAGGTGGTCTTTAGAACCAGGTCCCACACTGTCTGTGCGTGGAAAAACGGTCGTTAATTAAGAGCAGTTGGTCGCTAAAACGAGAGGTCGTTCACACCAGGTTTTACTGTACTCTTGCTATCATATCTATTCGTACTTCTAGTGAAATTGAGCTTTGTGGCACACACGTCCAGAAACAAAACTATTCCGATACATACACTTTGAAGTTTGCGTTATGCAGAGCTCACTGACTTGTCAGTTTGAGCAAAATTTTCATTGCTACATGTATCAGGTTCGGTTTCATTCTCTCTGTGATGAGTCCAAAAAGGACGAAACAATTCTGTCCGCACATCGAGTATTCTTTGAAGAAGTACATTGTATTTGGACGATTGGAAGATGTTGTTCCCGTAAGATTCACCATGTGTGGCTACCTAAACACATGGTACAGGCTATTTCTCCACGTAGGCTGCATTCGTAATTCGTATACATGTACATGCATCAAGGAAGACAGACACTGCCCCTTTGAAGTAACACATACGATAATATACAGCGTCGACGACGCCAACAACAACGACCCCCCCCCCCCATCGTAAAAATATAGAATTCAACAACGATCTACGAACGAATACGTGTCCAAGAAATGGAATGCTTGGTAAATGTACATGTACATGTACATGTAGGTGGGGTACAGCGGGGTTGGTACTAGTAAATGGTTGAACTGTCACTGTAAATTCGTACTGACTCACAAATATCTCCACATGCGCAACAAATGGGTAAGCAATGCTAGCATCCGGATTTGCGAGAGGTACATGACATGTACATGTACATGTAGACGGTGACTATGATTACAATAATACAATGACTATGTACAAGACATTGTTCAAAATCGCATACATGTACATGCAAGTTGTACATACGCATGCACATATACATGTGCACACACACACACACACACACACACACACACACACACACACACACACACACACACACACACACACACACACACACACATGTACATACAGGTACACACACACACATACATGTACACACACATACCCACATCACACCAATGTAGTCTCGACCATGGGCAATCATACTATTACACATACCAGGGTGGGTTGACGTCCAGCATTTGGTGCGAACATTCTGCAAGTAGACGAAACCATCATAGGGTCTGGGAAAACTGCCTCTTTACCTTCTTCCTACTTTTCAGATTGTGTTCTCTACTGAAAGACTAGGATATGCTAGAAGACTGCAATCAGGATTGTGAGAAGAAATAGCACTGCTGGTCTGCCACTTGCTTGTGTCAGGCTAGGAGCGCGTTGCATGCTTTTATTTGCTTTCCCCTCTCCCTGGGGACTTGCCCGACTATTCTAGCAACATGACAGACTAAGTCAGGGCACTGATTTTGAACTGCGAGAGATTTCTGTGATACATGAGTATTCCAGGGATACCATGGGGATTGACAGGTTCCAGTAATAACAATCCTTATACCCTTATTTACTGAGACGTTCATTTTTAGGAGGGGAAAAGCAGAACAGAAGTCGGTGAACTCTGGACAGTGAATTACACCATCAGAAATGTCCTTTGCCAATAGGACGCAATCATGGTGGCGGTTTTCGTGTGTATGCGTGTTTGAGTGTATTTGTGTGCATGTCTTTGAACACAGTTAAAACAGTTACTGGCTAGTTGGATGTGAATGAATGACCAGACTATTTAAAAGTCAGGTGTGTGTTCCTTGGGGAAAATAGTATTTTTATATAGCCAGTATTGAATTCTTTTAGATCTTATCGACCAAGTCCTTCTCTGCTATGAATGTAACCCCGCGGCTGCTTGCTTGTCTGCCAGTATCGTCTTCATTAGCAAGTAGATGTGATCGATCACTCCACAATATCTGACAGTCACACGCATACATGTACATGTACACGTAAGTATCGATTCCATACTTGGTGCGTGTATTATATTTTTTATTATTGCTTTATGCTAGCATGCTGGATCACCAGTCTCCATGCTGTTTGAAGGGATAATGGACAATTTCCTCAACATATGACAGATGTCTTGTTGCACAATACTAATATAACAGTTTGAAAGTCTCGTTGAACAGCACTGCGTTACAAGCCAATGAACGCAATACATCATCTCATACTGTCATCGGTTGATATTATTCTTATCTTCGGCAAGCGTTGCTCTAAAGATCAGCCGACAAAGTGTGTGCCGAAACTACAAGGATGTCGATTTCGATGCATGAATGTGGAGTAAGTAGGTGTGTCATGTTGATGTTTGAGTTAGTTGAGCCAGTTCGGCTTTGAGGGGGATCCAGTACTTGTCCCTAACAATACCATGTATTCTTGACTGGTGATTTGGAACAACCACTTTCACATTCACTTCAGATAGGTTCAACAGAGAACAGATACACGCAGTCAGCCTGGGCTGAGTGGAAGAGATAGCGCTTGGTCGTCCCAGACTGGCAGAACATGACCATACAATGTGTTCACAGGGTTATACTTATAGAGTACTACTACTAGTACGTCTTCGTAGTCTTCGAGCACTCGCAAGGCAAGGACTTAGGTTGGGGGGGGGGGGGGGAGGGTGCGTATGTGGTCCTAGAAGTAGAACCATGAAGTATACAAGACTGTGCAGTGCCAAGCAGGAACAGCGGACGTACACGTACACGTAGATAACACGCAGTTTGCAATAGAACACTTCCACTCCATACTAACAACTAAGATGATTGATCAGTAATCATGGTAATAACCCGTGCTCCTTGTGAATACTTCAGCATGACTACGGTAACGTTATACTGGCCCATGAAGCTTTCATCATAAACGACAAATCGTCCTGCAGCGGACATGCATTCCTGCTCCAGCTACAAATTAGTACAATCCCTACGATGATAGCTGCACATCTATTGCCTGTCTGTGACATGTGAAGAGAAACATCCCCTGGTGTAGATTGGAACTTAGATATCTAAGTATTAGAAGTTTAGAAGTCGGCAAGTCTACAGGTATTCTTCCCAGTGTTTGAAAACAAGACCACTGGCACTGTATTGTCCGTGTGTCGTGATAATGAGCCATGATAGCTCTACGCACAGGGTACCGAATGCATGTTTGATCTGTGGCCTTGTGGGTTTTTTTCATATTATTATGAACAATGTAAGTGCATATGCCTACATAGAAAGGAAGAGAACAACAACGACAAAACAACAAGGGTATAGTGTGGATCTGTGTGCACAAGCCTTGTGAAACATAATAATTACCCGGTATGTCACAAACACGCAATGTCATATGTTTCTGTTGGATTATTTGAGCAACTAATAATGTACTTTCAGATAATTGAATGAAGGAATTCTTGCTCCCAAATGGGCGCGGATATCTCCGATCTTCTACCAACAATTACAACTATCACCCACATTCAATCAGATCATTACGTTTGCAATGTGTGTACAGACTGCAATGCTTCCATGACAGTGTATTTGATATGAAAATGTACATGTACATGTACATGGCAATTTTATTAACTTAGTATTACTATTATTCTTTGTTTCATGGGAGTGGCGAACTGAAGAGGTTGCGAAGAAAGTAGTTCAGAACATACAATGTACATGTACATGTACCAGCTGCGTTGATTGGCATCTGACATTTTGCCGGGTCTGGAAGGGTGGAAACTGATTTAGCTGCCTTTGAATCTCCTGCTTCTTCTGCTGTTTCAGCTACGTATTACCGGGGGTATTGTATTACAGACTGTACATGACATTTTTACTATGTAGAAAATACATGCAGTAGGAGAATACCACAAACGTCATTATGTACATGTAGCTGCATGCGCTGGGCTGTGCCTGTGTGGGCGGGCATTTGGGGGCATCCTGGGCAGAGCCCTTGACTTTAGTGCCAGAGTGGCCGTCAATAGTCAGCGTCACTCAACACAGCATCATGACTTGTTGACGCATTGTGACAGTATGGTGCCTGCTAAATCACGACAGCTGCCAAAGAACTGAATGCAACAACAGACAGTCATTGAAAATTGGTAATTAAATTGTAATTTTGGGGTACTCCCTCTCCTCGACTTGGCTGGGCGCTCTTTCTGGTTAGCGTCAAAGTTGCCTGCCCTCGTACAAAGCTCACTGTGATTCTCGCAGTTAGATCACTCTGACTTTGATGCTTTGAGCTGATTTAAAATATTCGTTTCTGTTCACCAGGCCTCGTTTTGGTCTACTCGGATAGTCACTATGAGCTCCGCTGACGAGACCAAGCAAGGCCGAAGCAGCTACAATATACATGTACATGTAGCTGTCATGAGACTGAATTGTTTTCAGTCTTTTTACTTTGTGCATTGGGGGGAATTTCATTGCAAATATGACCCGTATTCTTTAGCGCGAGGCTGAGCTCACTGCTCCAAAACTTGTAAAGGCCATTCCAGAGACATAATTTATACTCATTTGATTTGCCACCCAGGCAGGCCTAGTGGGATGCTCTACACGTTAAGTAAGACCATGACTAGGAAACAGAGGGTATCAGATTCAACTCATTTAAGGCCTGTTTGGAAGCAGAAGGATTTTCTCCAGCCGTGCTGCGACCCACCGTTATTAATTGGGAACTCGTGGCCTGGCACAAGGGAAACATGAATGCAGCGTATGGTATTTCGGTATTGACCGCTTTCGTGGCAGGCAATCGAAGTCTCTACGCGAACGGTGAAATCTATTAATTTTTATATTCTTTACTACCACGCCTTGTAATACAGCGCTGTTATCATCTGCAATTCTACGCGAGTATTGCACACGAACTCAAGTGGTGCCCTAGCAAGGGCAGAGCATACCACACCAAAGCCAACACAACGGAAACTAAAAATATGCTGGTAGATGTCGGAAGTGCAAGTGAGTCGGTGTCGTATGCCGGGTGTGTGCGCGCGCGTTCTGCGTAAGCGTGCTTGTGCTTGTGTGTGTGTCCACACACACACACACATACACACACACACACACAGTGTGTGTGTGTGCGTGTGTATGTGTGCGTGTGCTTGTGTGTGTGTGTGTGTGTGTGTGTGTGTGTGTGTGTGTGTGTGTGTGTGTGTGTGTGTGTGTGTGTGAATGTGCGTCTGTGTGTGTCGTCGGAGATCGCACTGCAAAGTCGGGGCTACAGTGTACTTGCAACCCGTGTCACTGACACACCTTTTGCCGACGATTTTGTCCTCTCCACCACCCAGCAAGACTTCGACTCGTCCACGACTAAGTTTATCTCGTGTGCTTCCAAATGGGGTTTAACTGTCAGCGTGGCCAAAGCCAAAGGCATGGCGGTGAACACTCCGGCGAATGTGCCAATGGCACTGGATGGTGGTGAAGCCATAGATTCTGTGGAATCAATCGCGTACCTTGGCAGTGCCATACACCGCGATGGGTTGTCCTCCCATGACGTCCAGGCCCGCATTGGTGTGGTGCATCGATCTGCACCACACACCAGTGTCTATCGGCGCCATGAAAAAGAAAAGCGACGATGCTATGAAGAGAGAGTGAGAGAGGTGGAGCATGCGACGTTCATGCCTGTTGTGCTGTTGGCAAGTGGTGGCATGGGAAGAGCGGCGACATCACTCTATCACCGAATCGCGTTATTGAGAGCGGAAAGGAGGAAGGAGCAGTACTCCCACGTAATATCTTACATCAGATGGAGTCTCTCATTTGCCCTGTTGGGATCATGCATCATGTGTTTGCGGGGTTCACGGGGTCTTTTCCGTGAGCGATCGGTTCGGCATCCGGAGTCTGCTGAGCTGGTTGTTGCTGAGGCCCAGGTTGCTCGCATGTGAGAATCTATAAATTGCAGCAGATTATTTTTATTATAAATACTGGACATGGATATTGAATTAAACTGTACTCAGTGACTTTTTACATTTTACAGGCTACGTTTTATTATTATTATTATTGTAAAGCTTTCCTTTTGATCTTGTCTCTTATTGTTGTGACCTTTCCACACTAATTGTGTTGCATTGTTTAAAAAAGAAAAAGAAAAAAAGGCCCGCATTGGCAAGGCATCCAAAGCCTTTGGTAGCTTGAAGCAAGCCGTGTTCGAGAACCGGTCACTGAGTCTGCAGTGTCGTCGTCGCGTGTATGTTGCCGTGGTCCTTTCTACCCTCCCGTACGGCGCGGAGACCTGGACAACGAAGGCTCCGGACCTACGGTATCTCAACCTCTTCCACCATCAATGTGTCAGAACTATCGTTGGAGTGTCGCGACGGCAGCAATGGGAGACCCACGTAACGTCATCAGCCCTTGCAAAGACCCTAGGAGTACCTG